TTCTAGAGAAGTTCAAACTGCCAACTCAACCAACCTTTGTTAGTAATCTAGCATTTACCTGTTTGTGCCTCCCAGGGAGTCCCACAGGAAGCAGAGGGACTTAAAAAGATACAGATAAAGAAGGAATATTGTAATTGTGACTTCTAAAGTCTCTTCCAAATGTATGATTCAGTAATTAACTGTATTTTGGTTTTCAAAGTTTAACTGTGAATAAGAAAGACACACCTCCTGAATGCTGGTCAAATGCTCTTTAGAGGACAGTCTCCAGGGTTGCCCACCCACTGCATCACTGGGTCAGTGCCAAATCATATCACCCTTTGAGGCAGGGTTTCTGAGTCAAATCTTTATGGGAGCAGACTGCCTTATATTTCTTCCAAGGAGCAGCTGGTGGGTTTGAACTGCTGGCCTTGTGGCCCAGTGCTTAACCCATTATACCACCAAACCTCCTATCTCTAGAGTTGTGGTTATATGCCACTGAGGCAGTTCCAACTCAAAGTGACCCTGTGTAGGGTTTTTGAGGCTGTAAATCTTTATGGGAGCAGAAAGCCTTATCTTTCTCCCACGGAACAGCTAGTAGGTTCAAACTGTGGACTTTGTGGTTAGCAGCCCAGTTCGTAGTCCATAGGCTACAGGACTCCTTACTGTCAACTAATTTATGATAGGAAGAGCTCATAATAAAACAGCAAACTAGTCAAGTCTGACAAACATGAGGGAGCTGAAAGAATGTTTTGTAGTAAAAAAGGTGATATTTTATGAGCATGTGCTGCGTCTCCATTTCTACTGTTTTATGAATAAAATAATACGAGAAACTAGGTTCTATGAAGAAAAACGTGGCGTCAGGATTGCTGGAAGACTCATTAACAACCTGTGATATGCTGATGATACAACCTTGCTTGCTGAAAGTGAAGAGGACTTGAAACTTTTACTTATGAAGATCACAGAGCACAGCCTTCGATATGGATTACATCTCAATGTTAAGAAAACAAAAATCCTCACCACTTGACCAATAAACAGCATTCTTATCAATGGAGAAGAGATTGAAGTTGTCAAGGACTTCATTCTTCTTGGATCAACTATCAACACTCGTGGAAGAAGCGGTCAAGAGATCAGATGAAGTATTGCATTAGGCAAATCTGCTGCACAGGAACTTTTTAAAGTGTTGAAGAACAGAGATGTCAGCTTGAGGACTAAGGTGCACCTGACCCAAGCCATGGTATTTTCATTAACCTCATATGGATGCGAAAGCTGGACAGTGAATAAGGAAGATCGTAGGAGAATTGATGCCTTTGAGTTGTGGTGTTGGAGGAGAATACTGAAAGTGCCATGGACTGCCAAAAGAACCAATAGCTCTGTTTTGGAAGAAGTGCAACCAGAGTGCCCCTTGGAGGCCAAGATGGCTAAGCTTCGTCTCTCATACTTTGGACACATTGTCCAGAGAGAACAGTCGCTGGAGAAGGATGTCATGCTGGGTAAGGTGGAGGGTCAGAGAAAAAGAGGAAGACCCCCAACGAGATGGATCAGCCAGGTGGCATCATTGATGGTGTCAAGTGTGGCAGCGGTAGTGAGGTTGGCCCAGGATCGGACATTGTTTCATTCTGCTGTGCATGGGGTCGCTATGAGTCGGTTCCGACTCGATGGCACCTGACAACAACGACATGAATAAAATGACATAGGTGGGAAAGCTTCACAGCATGTAACAGCAGGAGCACTTGGAACATTTCTACATGTACAATCAGAGACACTGTCGGCATGCATTCCTGCAGCCGCGCAGCCACCCTGCCCTCGTTGTCTGGGCTCTTCCTCCCCCAGACCATAAGCTCACTGTTCCTGAGGTCCCTGTCTCTGCTTTCCAGCTGCTGTTGTCAGTCTGACCCCGTGTGTCTAGAAGTCGGAGGAGCACAGTGCCCAGGACAGACAGCCTTTCCTAGTGATGCTAAACTGTTGTTCGGTTAAGATGATCTCATGTTTAAGCTTTAAAGATTATTTCAGGGTAATGGTTTGGAGGGTTCATTAATCCTCCGTGACTCCAGAAATTCTGAGTTCTGTGAGAACTGAGAATTCTCGTTTCCTTTTGGTAGGGATTCCTCTGTAGAATCTTGGATCGAATGTTCAGTAATGGTAGCTGGACACCACCCAGTGCTTCTAGTCCCACAGGAATGGAGGCAACTGGTCTTACATTGCAGTTCCTCCTCTTCTTCACAACTCTCCTTCTGTCTTGCTCCAGGTGAAATAAAGACCACCTGTGCTTTGTTTGGCCACGTGTGAACCTTTGATGGCCACTTGAGAACTTTTGAGGCCCTAACGAATTGGGCTGCAAACCGCAAGGTCAGCAGTTCGAAGCTACCAGCTGCTCCACATGAGAAAGATGAGGCTTTCTGCTCCCTTAAAGATTTACCACCTCAGAAACCCTGTACAGGGTCGCTATGGGTTGGAACTGACTCGGTGGCACTTAACAACAACAAGCGTGCAGTGAACTAGGAGGTAGAACAGAGGCATTAAACACATTAATACTGTTAACCAGTATGTTTCATGAAACTGAGGCCTCAAACCTCCAAACCAAGGAACCAAATCCCATGAGGGGTTTATTTGTACATAAGCAGCCCCAGCTTATGTGAATATACATATATCACACTGCTCTTGGCTAATTCAACTTATTGACAACAATTACAAGAATCCACTGTACAACCTTACCCGCACTCAGTGCAAGGTTTCAATCACTGTAAACTGCGAAAATGTCTTTTTACATAGAAACAAGTTCATAGTGTCAGTTAGGTCAAAAATAATCATTCCTCGGGAAACTTCAAATACGTGCCTTCCGAGAAGCAAAGGAAGAAGTAACAACTTAGAGGCCAACTTGAAGTTTTCAGTTTATATCATCGGACAATCTCTTTGATATCTCATGTGAGTAAAGCTTTGCTAAAGGTAATACAGAAACGGCTACAATCATACATTGACAGAGAACTTCCAGAGGTTCAAGCCAGATTCAGAAGAGGCTGTGGAACGAGCGATATCATTGTTGATGTCCGATGGATCTTGGCTGAAAGCAGAGAATATCAGAAAGATGTTTACCTGTGCTTTGTTGACCATGCAAAGGCTTTCAATTGTGTGGATCATGACAAGCTATGGGCAACATTGAGAAGTATGAGTATTCCAGAACACTTAATTGTGCTCATGAAGAGTCTGTACCTGGACCAAGAGGCAGTTGTTCGAACAGAGCATGGGAACACTGAATGGTTTAAAATTAAGAAAAGTGTGAGACAAGGTTGTATTCTTTCACCATACTTATTCAACCTGTATGCTGAGCAAATAATCCGAGAAGCTAGGTTCTATGAAGAAAACATGGCATCAGGATTGGAGGAAGACTCATTAACAACCTGCGATATGCATATGATAGATACAGCCTTGCTTGCTGAAAGTGAAGAGGACTTGAAACATTTACTGATGACGATCAAAGAACACAGCCTTCAGTATGGATTACATCTCAATGTAAAGAAAACAAAAATCCTCACCACTGGACCAATAAACAACATTCTTATCAATGGAGAAAAGATTGAAGTTGTCAAGGACTTCATTCTTCTTGGATCAACTATCAACACTCACGGAAGCAGCATTCAAGAAATCAAACGATGTATTGCATTAAGCAAATCTGCTGCACAAGACCTTTTTAAAGTGTTGAAGAGCAAAGATGTCAGTTTGAGGACTAAGGTGCAACTGACCCAAGCCATGGTATTTTCAGTAATCTCATATGCATGCGAAAACTGGACAGTGAATAAGGAAGACCATAGAAGAATTGATGCCTTTGAGTTATGGTGTTGGAGGATAATATTGAAAGTGCCATGGGCTGATAAGAGAACCAATAGGTCCCTTTTGGAAGAAGTGCAACCAGAGTGCTCCTTGGAGGCCAAGATGGCCAAACTTAATCTCTCATACTTTGGACATATTGTCAGGAGGGACCAGTCTCTGGAGGAGGATATTATGTTTGGTAAGGTGGAGGGCCAGAGAAAGAGGAAGACCTCCAACGAGGTGGATTGACCAAGTGGCAGCATCGATCGACTCAAGTGTGGCAACAGTAATGAGATTGGCCCAGGATCGGGCAGTGTTTCATTGTGCTGTGCATAAGGTTGCTATGGGTTGGTACGGACTTGATGGCACCTAACAATAACAATAAGTATGACTGTGATTGTGTGCCATGGAGTTGGTTCCAACACATAGAGACCCTGAATAGGATTTCTGAGGAGCAGCTGGTGACCTTGAACCACTGACCTTGTAGTTCAAATGGCTTTGCAGTCTGGCACATTAACCCACAGTGCCACCCCAGGACTCCATGCTCCATGCTAGTATGTATGTATGTATGTATATATATATATATATATACCCACACACACAGAGAGAGAGAGAGCGAGCGAGCGATTATGAATCGGGCTGTGAACTGCAAGGTCAGCAGTTCGAAACTACCAGCAGTTCCATGGGAGAAAGATGAGGCGTTCTGCTCCCGAAAACATTTACAGCCTCGGAAACCCTGTGCAGGGTCGCTATGGTAGGAACCGACTCCACGGCACTTAGCAACAACAATATATATATATATATATATATATATATATCCATTCACAGCCTATATATATATATATATATATATATATATATATATATATATCCATTCACAGCGCCCCCTGGTGTAACAGAGGAAAACTGTCCCAGAGGGTTTCCTAGACTGTCATCCTTACAGGAGCAGATGTCCAGGTTCTTTGTCCCACAGAGTGGCTGGTGGGTTTGAACCACCAATCTTCCTGGTAGCCAAGCACTTAACCATTGTGCTACCAGGGTTCAACTGGTACTTGACCAAAGCCATGCAGTCAGTAAGTAGCAAAGCTGGAATTTGAATGAGGAGAACTTCAAAATCCCAGTATCATGATGTTGACACAAAAAGTAGTTCACTTTCTCTAAGTACTGACCTTTCTGAATGGATTGCTCTCACCTTGACCTTTCTGTCTTTGTCTCAGGGCAGTATGGCCACGGCTGCCTTACCAGAGAGCGGATCTGCCCTAGCCTTGCGAGCACTGGGCTGGGGCTCCCTTTATGCCTGGTGTGGAGTTGGTGTGTTGAGCTTCGCCGTCTGGAAAGCTTTAGGAGTTCACAGTGTGAGTAACAACAGTTCTGTGCTGTGTTTCTGGAATGCTCTTCTTCTTTCTGCAGCTGTTGTTAGTGCTATTGAGTAGGTTCCAACTATAGCAACCCTGTACAGGGTTTCTGAGGACCAGTTGGTGGGTTTGAACTGTTGCCCTAGTGATTAGCAGTCCAGCGCATTAAGCTGCAGCGTCACCCCAGAACCCCTTCTGTACTCTAGCTCTCCCTTATTTTCACATGTGACCACTGTTTTCGAAAGTGATTGCAGGGAAGTTGACAAAATTTTGATTAGTAAGTGGCTACTTCTCCTTACTAGGAAATCACTAAGTCAGTATCGTTGGATAAGGACTAATTCATAGGTGAGTCCTGGTTGGCGCTGTAGGGTAAACACTGGTCTACTGACCAGGAAGTCGGCAGTTCAGACCCACCTGCGCTGTTGGAAACTCAGCGACACTCAGCCACAACAGCAGTGCATAGGTGACCACATAGGTGACACTGGTGGTCTGTGGTGACTGTTAGGGTGAGGTGGGGTCCTGGTACGGAGCTGTACCACAAGCGCTCGACCTCAAGGTCAACACCCCTCTCCCCACTACCCCCCCAGCATCTCCTCAGAACCCCTATACAGTTTCACTATGAGTCAGACCGACTTGATGTCACTTAAAGCAACAACAACATTAAAGTAAACACTGAGCTGCTAACTGCAAGGGCAGCCATTCACACTCATCAGCCCTGGGCGCTCCATGGGAGAAAGATGAGGCTTTCTGCTCCGTAAGGATTGACACCCTTGGAAACCCTAAACAGGGGCTCTGTGAGTCAGGGGTTGGTTTGGTTTTTGATATCAGCCTAAAGGTTGGCTGTTGAAACCGACGCAATGGCTCCATGGAAGACAGGCCTAGGGATCCATGTCCGTAAAGACTTGTTACTAAGTGCAGTCGGATCAGTTCAGACTCAGAGTGACCCTGTATAGGGTTTCCAAGGAGCAGCGGGTGGGTTTGAACCGCTGACCTTACAGTTAGCAGTCTAGTGCTTTTTTATGGTGCCACAAAACCCTATGGAGCAGTTCTGCTCTGTAACACATGGGGCGGCGTGAACTAGAATGAACTCAACAGCGATGAGTGTTTTTTTTTTAACAAATTCATACATATCATACGTAATGTGGCTTTGTGATGGCAAGTCGATTCTGCCTTACAGTAGGCCTTGTTCTTACTGTTCTTGGTGTCTTCATGTTGATTCTAGCTCATAGCAACTCTGTAAAGGATTTCCAAGGAGTGCCTGGTAAGTTTAAAACACCAACCTTTCAGTTAGAAGTCTCTGCTTAGCTTACACGGCCACACCAGGAACCCTTAGCTCTGTGTCAATTGATGTTGACTGCTTGTTTACTAAAAGATTTAATTTGTGACAACCTCCTGTGGTGTTTGATATCCATGTGTATCAACACCTTTGTAAAATATTTAGCGCATTTAGAATTATTTTTTAAATTCTGAATGTATTACTTATACATTACTAGGAAATCCAAGAAGAACATGTGTGTATGCCATTAACTAACTAGTGGACATTTAAGGTATTTGAAACTCTGACATAGTTTCTATGATATAGAAGAGTCATTAGAATGAATCAGTCCAAATTTTGCTAAACCTACAAATTCATTGAATTGAATGCTTTCTAAGCTGGACTGATCTTTCCATTTCTAGAACATGTGCTCCTTTATTTTACGGGACTGGTAAGAGGATTCTTGTCTAAATAAAACATTTGGGGAGGAAGATTTTCGGACAGGCGTTGTTGACCACATTCTCTTCTTACTTTAAGGTGAGACACTACACACACACCCTCTTCCTACAGTCTCGAGGCCTGTTCCTCTGCTCTCTGTGTCTGACGTCTCACAGAAAAACCAACCCACTGGGACCATTTACAGGGCATGTCTCTAAGACCTCGGCTTCCACTAACTAGTTTGCACATTCTGAAGAGCATGTGGGTCTTCCCTGAAGCACAGTGGGCTGTCCGGATCTTAGGTTCTAAGTTTAAGCTTTATCCTATGACCCCTTCCCTGAGGCCTGTAGACAGCAATATGGTAGGTTTAACTTTGTAGTTAGAGTTCTGATAATAACCGTGAGACTTCACTCAGATAAGTGACAGATTTATATCACCATGTGCTGCCTCTTGGAAAATTTAGTTCTCTTTCTATGACTAAGGAAAAAAGGATTCATCAGAAAATGTTGAACAAAGTGGTCTAGTTCTGCACACTAAAATAATTGGTGTGCTCATTCTAGATAAATGCAGGAAAACTGAAACCCATTTTAGTGGATATTCCAATAACTGTTGGTTGCTGTTGTTAAATGCTGTCGAGTCTGCATTCCTTAGAAACTCATAGAGACCCTGTATAGAGTTTCCAAGGAAAGGCTGGTGGGTTTGACCTTGTGGTTTGCAATCCAATGTTGATCTTAAAGTGCCACACCAGAACGCCTAATCCAGAACTCCTAATTGTTGCTGTTATTGTTAAATGCTGTTAAGTCAGTTTGGACTCTTAGCGACCCTGTATAGGGTTTTTGAGGAGCGGCTGGTGAATTTGAACTGCCAGCATTGCCATTCAAACCGACCTTGTGGTCCAGTGCATTACCCCACAGCGCCACACCAGAACTTCCACTTTGCTGGTGTCTAAATCAGCTCAGATAGAAAGGCGCCATCTGATGGCTGGCTGAGAAGCAGGTTGTGTTCATTCCCTGTTTGAATCCACAGCTCCATCTGCTGGTCTGAATGGGAACTTGTCTCACTGTGGTTCAAGACCAGTCCTCCCTGGCCATGCTGGTTGCTGTCAAGTGGATTGGCCTCATGGCTGCAGTCTCCTGGCAACCCTGTGTGTGCAGGAAGCGCTGGGCTCCGCGGAGCTCTCAAGGCTCTGACCTTTCAGAAGTGCTGTGCTCCGCGGGGTTCTCAAGGCTGGGACCTTTCAGAAGCAGGTTGCCAGGCTTCTCTTCCAAAGTGCCTCTGAATGCTTTAAGCGGCCAACACTCTGGCTAATAGGCAAATAATTAACCATCAGCATCACCCAGCACTCCTTGCTGGTGTTAAGTACCATTGAGTCGGTTCTAACTCATAGTGATGCTGTATAGGGTGTCTGAGGGGCAGTTGGTGGGTTTGAACTGCCGATTTTGTGGTTCTCCTACAGTGCCACACCTGGACTCCCCAGCACTCTTCGGTTCCTCCTTAAAACCACTGCCACCAAGTCAGTTCTGACTCACAGCAATCCTATAGGGTAGAGTAGACCTGCGCATGGGATTTGAGTTTGGGAATCCTTATGGAAGCAGACTGTTGATGGGTTAGAACTCCTGACGTTTTGGTTAGTAGTCTAATGCTTAACCCACTGTACCACCAGTGCTCTCTAGTTTCTTAAAAGTGTTTAGGATTTACTCTCTGTTCATTCATAATTATGGAATCTCATTTAACATATACTGTATCTAGTACATTCAATATACACTGGTATTTGACACAGTGTTGTTGTTGTATGTTGTTGAGTCTATGCTGACTCAAAGCGATCCTGTATAGGGTTTCCAAGGAGTGGCTGGTGTGTGGGAATCGCCAACCTTGCAGCAAGCAGTTCAGTGTTTATCTTATAACATCACACAATGATACCTCAATTAATCCGAGGTTCCGAAACAGAGCTGGGGGAGCAGTCCTGTCAGCTGACCAGGATTTAGTGGGGGGCCTCCCTGCTTGGGTAGGGATCATTGTAGGTTCTTATCACTTCTTCTCCTAGCTCCATCCTTTCTACCTTGAACAGCCTGCAGACCAGAGAGCGACTTGATCATTCAGTTTGGTTTCAATGATTACTTTACACTGGACAGTTTTCATTGGTTTATGTCTGAAGGTGCATTACTTTTATCACAGTAGCTTATGTGTGAAAAGTAAAACAGGAGCATTTTATGGTGTATGGTTTCTGTGGCACTGTAGGATAAGCACTGGACTGCAAGGTAGTTTGAACTGCAAAGTTCGTGGATCAAACTCGCCAGCCACTCCTCAGAAATCCTATACAGAAGTGGGGGAATGTCTGGTCCACAGGCCATATAAGGCCTACAAAATCATTTGGTCTGGCCCAGCCAAGACAACTGCAGTTCTAGCCATCATGTTGTTTTTGTTGTTGTTGTTAAGTGTCATCGAGTTGGTTCCGATTCATAGTGACCCTGTATAGGGTTTCCAAGGAGCAGCTGGTGAGCTCGAAACACTGACCTTGGAGTTCAAACCGACCTTGTGAATTGAGTGATAGTTTACATGGGAGAACTTTGGTTTTACACACTGTTTCATTGCAATGATTATAGTCTCTATGCATCATCATTCAACAGTGTTTGCTTCTATTCCCTCTGTTCTTATATAGGGCACATTCTGCAAGCTTGGCAGGCTAATTTTTAAGTTGATGATTTTGTATGGCCCATGAATGATGTTATAAATTTTGGCAGAAAAAAGGTCTCTGGTAGTATAGTGGTTATGAATCAGGCTGGAAACCTTAAGGTCAGTAGTTCCGTGGGAGAAAGATGAGACTCTCTGCTCCCATAAAGATTTACAGCCTCAGAAACCCTGTACAGGGTCACTATGAGTTGGAACCGACTCCATAGCACATAACCACCACCACCCTTGCTATGGAGTCCTAGTGTGAACTATGGATTAAAGCATCAGACTGCAAAGCCGTCGGAACTACAAGGTTGGCAGTTCAAGCTCACCAGCTGCTCCTCAGAAACCCTATACAGGGTCGTTATGGGTTGGAACCAACTCAACGGCACTTCACAACAATAACAACAACCCTTACTATACAGGCTCACTTTATAACTGCAGCTGCTAGGAGCCCTGGTGGCACAATGGTTAAGTGCTGGGCCACATACTAAAACCCACCGGATAAAGCCTTGGCCGTCTGCTCCTGCCAAGTTTACGGCCTGGGAGCCGTATGGCGCAGTTCTCCTGTGTAACACACGAGGCCGCTGTGAGTCAGAATCCACTTGATGACGTGCAGCTGTGCACTGGGAAGTTC